GAAGGAGTTATCTGGACAATTAGCCAAACCCTCAAAGGCTGAAGGAGTCCTGGCTCTGACTCAAGGGGCTGGCACCCAAGAGACGGAGACCAGGGTAGAAAGGGTTGGCATCTAAGGGAAGAGAAGATTCTGAGATAAGATGTTTTTAAAACATAATTGTCCCAAGAGGGTTGCTTCAGAGGAACAAGTAACTCAAGCCAGTTGGTTTTGCTCCATATAAGCAGTTCTCCTAAGTGTTTGCTGGGGGAAAAGATGGAATCTAATTTTTTAAGAGGAGCATTGGCAGTCATCCATAAGTTTTATTTATGCAGGTCTCCCAGCACAGCATTCTCCTCAGGAGGTATTCACCTCTAAAAGAACATTTCTGGATGAAAATGGGGATGTATATGAGTGAAAAAATGTCATATCTTGAATTTAATTCTATCAGCTAACAAGTCCTTCCTGAGCATCCATACATTCCCAATTCCTTGTTAGAGATAAGTGGAAGGTAGGGGAGGAAAAAGAGAGGGGGAGTGTCCAGGAGAATAAGACCAGAAGGCAAGAAAAAGGATAAACAAAGACTATACCATAGGGTGGTAGGACTTAAGTCAAGTATGGGCTGGAGCTATCCACAGGGACAAAGTAGGTCTTGAGATAATATTTGAAAAAGAGATTTTTGTGAAACATTAACTATCTGTATACAAATATAGACAGATGATAAATACACAGATAGGTAGATAGATTAAATAGATAGATAGGTGTTCATTAGCATACTGTTTGAAGTGGAACTTGAAAGATGATCAACATAGCAGATGCTGTCAGTTATCTACCTATATCCCCTTCGAAACACCCATTTCCATTTCTACCACTTGCCAGCACCTGCACCTCCAGTCCCCAGGGACTCCCTGGGGACTCCCTGCATGAATAGAGGGCAGGTTACAAGCAACAGGGAACTAACACCCATCCCCAGCAGCCACACCATTGACTGATGAGAATAGATATATAGGGACCCACTTCCCTTACCTAGCTAATGGGATAACAATGAGGTTCCTATTCTTCACAATCAACCAAAGCTGCCCAAGGGAATTAAGCCCCAAATGTCAGTGGTAACTGGTTTGATAACTCACATTTAGTGGCTTCCTTCCCATTTCTGTCTCACTTCTCCACTCAACCAGTGTTTTCTAGGTTCACCTCCTAAATAAACTACTTGTACTCAAATCTTTGTCTCAGGGTCTACTTCTTGGGGAACTAAAATGGAAATTCTACATGTATTTTTATCATCCTTTTAAGTTTAATTTCATTTTTATCCTATGTAATCCTACAACAGCCTAAGGAAGTAGAATTTTTCTCATTTTCCAGACAATGGAACTGAGACAATGTTAGTTGATAATGACCTGAAGCTCATATACGTAACTGACAATTTACTAGGTTGTGTTTAATGTCCAGTTGACTGACTCTTGGTCTGATACTATCTCCACCAACCCCACTGCTTCTGGTCATTCTCATCTCTAAATATACCTGCACAATAATGTAGCCCTAGAGTTCATGATGGCAGTGAACAGTAGGTCTTCCTTCCAATCCTGTCCGTGACACATTTCTCTCCATAGAGGTAAACACTGTTACCAGTTTTTTAAATCCTTCTAGAGATAATCTATATATAAGCTATACACACACATATCTGCAGGAATGGAGTATGGAATAATACATTTTCTAAGACTTTGCATAACTACACTATAAATAATACATTCCTGTTACCTTTTTTATGAACAGTGATAGTGGAGCCAAGAATTCTTGGGTCACAATCCTGGAACTCTGTTCCTAAGTAATTTTCAAGGTAGTGGGAATTATCTATAGATATTAATAGAGGCATAATGTTTGTTAACAGGAAATATGGATGGATAAACAGAGGTAAACCATTTATTTTTTACTAAATTACTGGGATTTGTAAATTTCAAAAGGAAGTATGTAGTTTCTAGCATTTCTCAAGCATGTATCTTTCTTTCAGAACATACCCATCACAGCCTCCCAAGACAAAGGTAGATTTAACATTCTCTTAAGAAATTATACTATAGCATTTACCTCACTTTCTTTATCAGGAAGAAATCTAAATCCAGACTGAACTTTTCTCAATATGCATGATATATGAACTCTTCACCAGGATGCATTAAAATATTTGGGCCTTTGTTGTTATTTTTTATGGAAGCATAATTCAATTGTTTTAATTTTCATCATTTCTCAAGTCTGAAAAATATTATTTATGTCTTTGATTATTGCTCTCATTTCATTTTTCTGTTGGGCTTCATGCTGTCTCTTCAGAATTGTCATTCTCTCTCTCATCAATTTCATCTCTTTGAGCTCTTGCCTGGCTTTCTGGGAGATTTTCTTAAATTGCCCCCTCCATTTTATTTCCTACAATGTCATTTGGGTTCTTTACTATTTTCAATGCATACTTTAACTCTGCTATTGAGCTTTTGTCTTGCTTGAATAGGTAATACACAAATAGAATGTAAAATTGAAAAGGGGAAAAGGAAAACAGTGAAAAGTAGGTCTTCCTTCCAATCCTGTCCGTGACACATTTCTCTCCATAGAGGTAAACATTGTTACTAGTTTTTTAAATCCTTCTAGAGATAATGTATATATAAGCTATACACACACATATCTGTATATATATCTACTCTTTATGTTTTAGTGGTAAATCCCTATACTGTTGGGGGTGAAAATAGGTATGACAAATAAGTATATTTTCTAAACTTTTCCAGCCTCAGGTATCAGTTATTACAGTTGTGAAGGCAAAAAAACAAATAATTCAAATTAGCAAATAACTATTAACTATTTTCCACAACAGAATGGCAGCTTCAGGACTTGTTGACTCAGCAGCCCACACAAGTCATCAAGAACCCGGATTCCTTTCATCTTTTTGTTCTTCCAGGTCCAAAAAATTATTTTCTTAATACGAGTCTTTTGGTCCCAAGATTAGTACATGAGTTCCAAGCATTATACAAGAAACAATAATTTCTAGAAGTAAAAAAGTGGCTTTTATGTGTTTTTTATTAAGAACTAGAAAATAATTCCCAGAAGACATTCTTTTGCTTTCCATTAGACAGAATTTCATCTTGTCCTTATACCTAAACCAAACATTAGGTACAAAACTAGAATTTTTGTGATGGCTTTAATAAGTTATGAGTCACTTCGCAGAGCTATGGAAGGGACAAATACAAGGTTTGATGACAGAGAAGGCTCTTTCAGAAAGGCAGAATGGGATGGGGCAAAGTACACTGAGGAATGGATGTTGGATAGGCAGTCAACCATGTCTCACCACCACACATTCTTTTTTTTCATTCTTAAAATTATTTTAAAATTCTTTCTTTATATAATTATATTTATAAATTTAATTATAAATTTAAATATAAATATAAATTATATTTATAACATTATTCTTAAAATTATTTCTTTATATATTTTCCTCATACTCAGGTTAATAACCATTTGTTATTTATATAAGGCACATGCACATTTGTTGGTAATTAGACAGAAAATGTATTAGGTTTTCTCTCATTTTATTTAGCTTTTAAAAGTTTTTTTTTTCATTTATTTTTATTAGTTGGAGGCTAATTACTTTACAATATTTTAGCGGTTTTTGCCATATATTGACATGAATCAGCCATGGCTTTACATGTGTTCCCCATCCTGATCCTCCCTCCCACCTCCCTCCCCATCCCATCTCTCTGGTCTATTTATTTTTAATTAAAGGATAATTGCTTTACAGTGTTGTGTTGGTGTCTGCCATACATCAATATGAACCAGCCATATGTATAGATATGTCTTTTCCGTCTTGAACCTCCCTCCCACCCCTCACCCCATTCCACCCCTCTAGTTGTCACAGAGTACCGCATTCAGCTCCCTGTGTTACACAGCAACTTCCCATTAGCTATCTATTTTACATGTGGTAATGTATATGTTTCAGTGCTACTCTCTCGATTCTTCACCCCCCTCTCTTTCTCCCACAAGTCTGTTCTCTAAGTCCACATCTCTATTCCCGTCCTGCAAATAGGTTCATTAGTACCATTTTTCCAGATTCCATATATATGTGTTAATATGCCATATTCGTTTTTTTCTTTCTGACTTACTTCACTCCGTATAACAGGCTCTAGATTCATCCACCTCACTAGAACTGACTTAAATTCACTTCTTTTATGGCTGAGTAATATTCCATTTTATATACATGCCACACTTCTTTATCCATTCATCTGTCAATGAACATTTAGGTTGCTTCCATGTTCTATTGTAAATAATGCTGCAATGAATAGTGGAGTACATGTGTCTTTTAGAATTGTGGTTTTCTCAAGGTTTATTTCCAGTAGTGAGATTGCTGGGTTATATGGTAGTTGTATTCCTAGTTTGTAAAGAAATCTCCATACTGTTCTCCATAGTGGCTGTGCCAATTTACATCCCCACCAATAGTCAAGAGGTTTCCCTTTTCTCCACACCCTCTCCAGCATTTATTGTTTGTAGAGTTTCTGATGATGGACATTCTTAGTCATATCAATTACCAACATAAAAACTCCCAAATCCTCAGCTAATACCTCTCTGCACTTACTTTTGTGATGCAAACCACCACCTCTCTCTGCCCTCCTAAACACATTGACTGTGTCCTCCCATTCTATGACAAGCACTCCTGTACCACAAAACTCCTCTCAGGACATTTCACTGACCTCTTGCTTTAACCTAGCTGCCCCCTAGGACACTGCTTCTCTGAGGCCCTCTCTAGGGGTTATCTGTTTCACTTTTCACATCCCCAGAATCTCAGGCTTGGATAATTCCTATGGACTTTTTGTGTCCCTTACCTCCAAATTTCAATGTTAAGTTTTAATTCCCAGTGTGATATTATTAGAATGTGAGGCCTTTGGAGGTAATTAAGTCATGAGAAAAGAGCTCTCTTAAATGGGATTAGTGACTATAAAAGAAGAGACATAAAACAACTTGCTTGCCTTCATCCTTTCTTTTCCCCACAATGTGAATATATGAGAAGATGGTCATCTGCAAACCAGGAAGAGGACATTTACCAGTTCAGTTCAGTTCAGTCACTCAGTCATGTCCGACTCTTCGCGACCCCATGGACCACAGCAAACCAGGCCTCCCTGTTCATCACCAACTCCCAGAGTTTGCCCAAACTCATGTCCATTGAGTGGGTGATGCCATCCAACCATTTCATCCCTGTCATCCCCTTCTCCTCCTGCCTTTCTCCTCCAATCTTTCTCAGCATCAGGGTCTTTTCAAAAGAGTCAGCTCTTCGCATCAGGTGGCCAAAGTATTGGAGCTTCAGCTTCAACATCAGTCCTTCCAACGAACACTCAGGACTGATCTCCTTTAGGATAGACTGCTTGGATCTCCTTGTAGTCCAAGGGACTCTCAAGAGTCTTCTCCAACACCACAGTTCAAAAGCATCAATTTTTCAGTGCTCAGCTTTCTTTATAGTCCAACTCTCACATCCATTCATGACTACTGGAAAAACATTTACCAGACACCAGATCTGTTGGCACCTTGATCTTGGACTTGTCCAGAACTATAGGAAATAAATGTTTGTTGTAACCAATCTTTGGTGATTTGTTATATATAGCAGCCCAAAATAACTGACAGTAGTCCTCTTGCTTCTGGAACCTGGTCTCCTCACTGGCTTATTAAAACTCCAGACCCACTGAGATTCATGTTATATGGCATTGCCACTCTTTCCTGCTTCTCACAGCTGCCATCCGTCAACTTTCCTAGTCACTCTTCCCATTTGCTGACAATTATAGCACCTAATGACAGTTTTTCTCTCATTTCCAGTTCCTGTGATTTCAACATCCACAACTATGACTCCACTCAAAACCCTAGTCTTAACTGTAACACTTCCTTTTCCACTCATCAACTATTCCTAAGTCACACTCTAGACTGAAGTGACTGAGCGACTACTCAGTCACTTTAGCCATGTCCAGCTCTTTGTGACCCCAAGAAACATAGCCCACCAGGCCCCTCTGTCCATGGGATTTTCCCAGCAAGAATACTGGAGAGGATTACCACGCCCTCCCCCAGGGTATCTTCCTGACCCAGGGATCGAGCCCACATCTCCTGTATCTCCTGCATTGCAGGCAGATTCTTTACTGTTGAGTCACAGGGAAGCTCCCAACTCTAGACTTTGGCATCACACCAATAATTTCTGATAAACACTTATTTTCTAAAAGCTCTCGTTTGACAATACCTCAGAAAATTCACATATGTGAACTTTTTGATGCAGCAATCTCACTTCTAGGAATCTATCCCAATGCTGAACTAGCAAAAATATAAAAATATGTATGAATAAAACTGGTCTTGGTAGCATTCTTTTACACAGTGAAAGACTATAAACAATCTGCTGCTGCTGCTGCTAAGTCGCTTCAGTTGTGTCCGACTCTGTGCGACCCCATAGGTGGCAGCCCATCAGGCTCCTCCGTCCCTGGGATTCTCCAGTCAAGAATACTGGAGTGGGTTGCCATTTTCTTCTCCAATGCATGCATGCATGCTAGGTCGCTTCAGTTGTGTCCGACTCTGTGTGACCTTATGGACAGCAACCCGCCAGGCTCCTCTGTTCATGGGATTCTCTAGGCAAGAATACTGGAGTGGGTTGCCATTTCCTTCTCCAAGAAACAATCTAAATACAGAAAAATATGGAAGTGGTTAAATTAGTTACAGCTCGTCTATACACTGAATTAAAATGCCACTATAAAAGGCAACAAGCAAATCTCTGTAGACAATTAAAAAGTGATTTTCAAATACTTTACATCCAAAAAAGAATCAAGGTGTAAGACAATGTGCACAGTTTGCTGTGTATAAGAAAGGGAAGAGAAAGAAAGAGTGTACGTCTATGTGTATGTGTCTAAAAGGTATTCTGTCCAAAACCACAGAATAGGTGGCTTAAGCTACAAACATGTATTTCTCATAGCTTTGGAGGCTGGAACATCTAAGATCAAGACACTGGCAAAGCTAGGGCTGCTGTGAGCCCACTTCCTGATTTGTAGACAGCTGCTTTCTTGCTATATTCTCACATGACTGAATGAGCGAGAAGAAGCAAGCTCTTTCATGTTTCTTCTTATAAGAACACTAATCCAAATGACCTTCTAAAGTTCTACCACCAACTATCACCACACTGGTGATTAGGGTTTTTCAACATACGAATTTTGGGGTAACAAAGCAAGAAAAGAAGCCAAAAACTAATTTTAATGGCTAATAACATGGGAAAAGAAAGAACTTGGAAATGAAATTTTGAAATCATATAAATATTTCATTTTCAAATAAGTTATTAATTCAAAAAGAAAATATGCATTTCTGTAAGTCAAAAATAAACAAACAAATGTGAATGTTCACAGTGGCTTTATTTATTTTTTTAGGTCATAGGATTGTAATTTTATTTTTTTATTTTAACTTTTATTTTGTGTTGGGGTATAGCCAATTAACACTGTCATGATAATATCAGGTGAACAGTAAAGGGATTCAATCATACATGTACTTGCATCCATTCCACTCCCCCCAAACTCACCTTCCATCCATACTGCCACATAACACTGAGCAGTTTCTTGTGCTATACAGTGGGTCCTTGTTGGTTAAGAAACATAGTATTTTGATGATACAACCCTAGTAAGTTACATTCTAAAGACAAAATGAACCACAAAGAAATCTTAAACTATACACAGTGGTCTTTTTTTGGCAATAAAACAATGAATTAAATTTAATTTAATTTAATTAAATAAATGAATTTTTGTTGATGTCTTCATTTCTTATTGCTGCTCTAACAAATAACCAGATTTAATTTTTAAAACAACACAAGAGTATAATCTTCTACTTTTGGAGGTTGGAAATATGAAATGAGTCTCACTGCATTAAAAACAAGGTGTCAGCAAGTTTGTGTTCACTTCTGAAGGCTGTAGGAGAGAATCCAATTCCCAGGGGCTGCCCATATTCCTTGGCATTGTGGGCCCCTCCCATCTTCAAAGCCAGCAATATCCAGTCTAATTTTTCCTGCCCCCTCTCTGATTCCAACTCTTCTTCCTTCTTCATCTCCATTTAAATACTTTTTGACTCCATTGGGCTCACGTGAATAATCCAAGATGTTCTCTTTATTTTCAGTTTTGTTGATTATCGAAGTTAATTCTCTGCAGACTTGATTTTCTCTTGCCATGTGATAAAACATATTTACAGGTTCTAGGGATTAGAAGTGGACATTTTTGCAGGATCAATATCTGCCCACTAGCCCCCAAAATATTCACAACTATTCCACACGAAAAATGTATTCATTCCATCGCAAGATCCCCAAAGTCCCAATTCACTACAGCATCGAGTCTAAAATCTCAACTGAGTATCATTAGTTCAAAAATCTCAAATCTCACCATCTGAATCAGGTGTAGGTAAGACTCTGGCTATCATCCATCTTAAACACTATTCCTCTCCATCTGTGAGCCTATGAAACTCAGGAAACAAGTTATCTGCTTCCAAACAACAGTGGTGGGACAGGCTATCTGATTCAAAGAAGAATAAGATGGAAGGAAAAAAGGAGTCACAAGTCGCAAGCAATTTCAATATCCAGCCAAACAAATTCCACTTAGAACTATGGTCAGGGAAGAACACCCTCTAGCTCAAGGCTCAACCCTTGGAGTCATGCTCACTTTCTTTTATGAAAGGTCTCAGATTTGCAGCTGAACAGATGTATCAGCTTGTTTCTTTCTGATATAATTTTAGGAGTCCAGCAGCCTTTTTTCATTTTCTTTTTTCTTTGTTCCATTTGAGCCAGGTGATGGACAGGGAGGCCTGGCATGCTGTGATTCATGGGGTCGCAAAGAGTCGGACACAACTGAGCGACTGAACTGAACTGAACTGATAGTGTTTCTGCTGGCATCAGCTCTCAAGAGCCTTGTGAATTTCCTGTGCATAGCTCAAGGATTCACTCCATTAGGCAAGAGGCTCCCCTACAGAAATTTCCTGAATGATCCCACCTCTAATCCTGGCTTCTGTTGAGACAGCTGAGGAATCCACGAGTCATGCACCTTCAAGATCAGAAACTGTAAGATCAGAAACTCTGAACTTTGAGCTTTTCAAGGCACTAACAAAAGTTGCTGATCTATAGCTTCGATTTCTCTCTAGACTGTGATTTCCTGACATTGAATCTCCTAATTTTAGCCTCTTTTGCCATCTAGGTAAGCTGACAACTTCCCAAATGATCAAGTTCTGGTTCCTTTTCACTTAACAATTATTTCCTCAACCTATATCTTTCTTTAGTATTTTGCTATAAGGAGCAAAAAGAAATCAGACCACACATTTAGCACCTGGCTTGGAAACTTCAGCTAAATATCTAAATTCATCATTTGCAAGTTTTGCTTTCCATGTAACTGCATAACACAATTCAGAAAGCTTTTAGCTAATCGTCTTTCCACTGGTTTCCAATAATATGTTTCTCATTTCCATCTGAGCCCTCACCAGCAGTACTTTTAATATCCATGTTTCTAACATTTTGTTCATGGAGACACTGTACTGGGAAAGATCCTCAGAGTTCTTCTTACTGGCTGCAAGTAATAAATCCTTCCTTCTCAAACAAAAACAGAAAAACAAAAAAACTTCTGCTCATGATGATTTATATATCCTCTAAGGCTTCCCTGGTGGCTCAGTAGTAAAGAATCCATCAGCCAATGCAGCTGACACAGGTTCAATCCCTGGGTCAGAAAGATTCCCTGGAGAAGGAAGTGGCATATACTACTATATATATATATATATATATATATATGCTTCCTATTGCTACTATAACAAATTATCACAGATTTAGTGGCTTAAAACAATGCAAATTTATAATCTTACAATTTTGGAGGTCATATGTACAGAATTAAGCTAGGCTCCAACAGTATGTGAACCAAGAATTTCCAGATATTCAAGCTGGATTTAGAAAAGACAGAGGATGGGTGGAGAGGGAGGTGGGAGGGGGGACCGGGATGGGGAATACATGTAAATCCATGGCTAATTCATTTCAATGTATGACAAAAACCACTACAATGATGTAAAGTAATTAGCCTCCAACTAATAAAAGTAAATGAAAAAAAAAGAAAAGAAAAGACAGAGGAACCAGAGAACAAATTTCCAACAGCGACTGAATCACAGAAAAAGCAAAAGAATCACAGAAAAACACCTACTTCTGCTTCATTAACTATGCTAAAGCCTTTGACTGTGTGGATCACAACAAACTGGAAAATTCTTAAAGAGAGGGGAATATATGGCAAAAACTACCACAACATTATAAAGCAATTGCCTTCCAATTAAAATAAATAAATAACCTCAGATACCCAGATACCACCACCCTTATAGCAGAAAGTGAAGAAGAACTATAGCGCCTCTGGCTAAAGGTGAAAGAGGAGAGTGGAAAAGCTGATTTAAAACTCAACATTCAAAAAGCAAATATCATGGAATCCAGTCCCATCACTTCATGGCATATAGATGGGGAAACAATGAAAACAGTGGCAGACTTTATTTTCTTGGGTTCCAGAACCACTGCAGATGGTGACTGCAGCCATGAGATTAAAAG